GTCTCTGAATCTAACTTATATTTCTGATTGTCGCCCTTCCACAAGGCTGAGAATCTAGCTTAATATACTTCTGATTGTCGCCCTTCCCACCGCTCAGAATCTAGCTTATACTTCTGTATGTCGCCTTTTCACAAAGCTCAGAATCGAGCTTATTCTTCTGATTGTCACCTTTCCGCAAGGTTCAGAATCTAGCTTATACTTCTGTTTCTCGCCCTTCCACATGGCTCAAAATCTAGCTTATACTGCTGATTGTCGCCCTTCCACACGGCTAATAATCTAGCTTATACTTCTGATTTTTATCTTTCCACAAGGTTCAGAATCTAGCTTATACTTCTGATTGTCGCTCTTCCACCTGGCTAAGAATCTAGCTTTACTTCTGATTGTCGCCCTTCCACAAGGCTGAGAATCTAGCTTATACTTCTGATTGTCGCCCTTCCACAAGGCTCATGTTCTAGCTTATACTTTTGATTGTCGCCATTCCACAAGGCTCAAAATCTAGCGTACACTTCTGATTGTTGCCCTTCCACAAGGCTCAAAATCTAGCTGATACTTTTGATTGTCGCCCTTCCGGAAGGCTCAGAATCTAGCTGATACTTCTGATTGTCGCCCTTCCACAGAGTCAAAATCTAGCTTTTATTCCTAATTGTCGGCCTTCCACAAGGCTCATTATCTAGCTTATACTTCTGATTGTCGCCTTTCCACAAGGCCCAAAATCTAGCTTATACTAAGTCTTCTGATTGTCGCCTTTCTACAAGCTAAGGATAAAAATCTAACTTAGACTTCTGATTGTCGCCCTTCCACAAGGCTCAAAATCTATCTTATACCGTACTTCTGATTGTCGCTCTTCCTCAAGGCTCAGAATCTAGCTTATACTTCTGATTGTCGACCTTCAACAAGGATAAGAATCTACCTTATACTTCTGATTGTCTCTCTTCCACCTGGCTCAGAATCTAGCTTTACTCCTGATTGTCGCCCTTCCACAAGGCTGAGAATCTAGCTTATACTTCTGATTTTTATCTTTCCACAAGGTTCAGAATCTAGCTTATACTTCTGATTGTCGCTCTTCCACAAGCTCAGAATCTAGCTTTCCCTCTGATTGTCGCCCTTCCACAAGGCTGAGAATCTAGCTTATACTTCTGATTGTCGCCCTGCCACAAGGCTCAGAATCTAGCTTATGATTCTTATTGTCACCCTTCCACAAGACTCATTATCTAGCTTATACTTCTGATTGTCGCCTTTCCACAAGGCCCAAAATCTAGCTTATACTAAGTCTTCTGATTGTCGCCCTTCTACAAGCTTAGGATAAAAATCTAACTTAGACTTCTGATTGCCGCCCTTCCACAAGGCTCAAAATCTATCTTATACCGTACTTCTGATTGTCGCTCTTCCTCAAGGCTCAGAATCTAGATTATACTTCTGATTTTCGCCCTTCCACAAGTTTCAGAATCTAGCTTATACTTCTGATTGTCGACCTTCAACAAGGATTATAATCTACCTTATACTTCTGATTGTTGCTCTTCCACCTGGCTCAGAATCTAGCTTTACTTCTGATTCTCACAATTCCACAAGGCTGAGAATCTAGCTTATACTTCTGATTATCGCCTTTCCACAAGGCTCAGAATCTAGTTTATACTTCTGATTTTCGCCCTTCCACAAGGCTTTTAATCTAGCTTATACTTCTGATTTTCGCCCTTCCACAAGTTTCAGAATCTAGCTTATACTTCTGATTGTCGACCTTCAACAAGGATTAGAATCTACATTATACTTCTGATTGTCGCTCTTCCACAAGGCTCAGAATCTTGTTTATACTTCTGATTGTCGCCCTTCCACAAGGCTCATAATCTAGCCTATACTTCTGATTTTCGCCCTTCCACAAGTTTCAGAATCAAGCTTATACTTCTGTTTGTCGCCCTTCAACTTGGCTCAAATTCTAGCTTATACTGCTGATTGTCGCCCTTCCACAAGTCTAATAATCAAGCTTATACTTCTGATTTTCATCTTTCCACAAGGTTCAGAATCTAGCTTATACTTCTGATTGTCGCTCTTCCACCTGGTTCAGAATCTAGCTTTACTTCTGATTGTCGCCCTTCCACAAGGCTGAAAATCTAGCTGATAGTTCTGATTGTCGCTCTCCCACAAGGCTCAAAATCTAGCTTTTACTTCTGATAGTCGCCCTTCCACAAGGCGCAGAATCTAGCTTATACTTCTGATTGTCACCCTGCCACAAGGCTCATGATCTAGCTGATACTTTTGATTGTTGCCCTTCCACAAGGCTCAAAATCTAGCTTATACTTCTGATTTGCGCCCTTCAACAAGGCTCGAAATCTAGATTGTACTTCTGATTGTCGCCCTTTCACAAGGCTCATAATCTAGCTTATACTTCTGATTGTCACCTTTCCACAAGGTTCAGAATCTAGCGTATACTTCTGATTGTCGCTCTTCCACCTGGCTCAGAATCTAGCTTTACTTCTGATTGTCGCCCTTCCACAAGGCTGAGAATCTAGCTTATACTTCTGATTGTTGCCCTCCCACAAGGCTCAGAATCTAGCTTATACTTCTGATTGTCGTCTTTCTACAAGGATCAGAATCTAGCTTATATTTCTGATTGTCGCTCTTCCACAAGGCTCAAAATCTAGTTTATACTTCTGATTGTTGCCTTTCCACAAGGCTAAAAATCTAGCTGATACATCTGATTGTCGCCATTCCAGAAGGCTCAGAATCTAGCTGATACTTCTGATTGTCGCCCTTCCACAGAGTCAAAATCTAGCTTTTATTTCTGATTGTCGCACTTCCACAAGGCTCATTATCTAGCTTATACTTCTGATTGTCGCCTTTCCACAAGGCCCAAAATCAAGCTTATACTAAGTCTTCTGATTGTCGCCTTTCTACAAGGATCAGAATCTAGCTTATACTTCTGATTGTCGCCTTTCTACAAGGATCAGAATCTAGCTTATACCGCTGATTATCGCCCTTCCACAAGGCTCATAATCTAGCTTATACTTTTGATTGTCGCACTTCCACAAGGTTCATAATCTAGCTTTTACTTCTAATTGTTGTCGTTCCATAAGGCTCAGAATCTAACTTATACTTCTGATTGTCGCCCTTCTACAAGGCTGACAATCTAGCTTAATATACTTCTGATTGTCGCCCTTCCACAAGGCTCAGAATCTAGCTTATTCTTATGTATGTCGCCTTTTCACAAGGCTCAGAATTGAGCTTATACTTCTGATTGTCCCCCCTCGTCAAGGATCAAAATCTAGCTTCAATGTCTGATTGTTGCCCTTCCACAAGGATCAAAATCTAGCTTATACGTCTGATTGTCGCCCTTCCACAAGGATAAAATCTACCTTATACTTCTGATTGTTCCCCTTCTACAAGGCTCGGAATCTAACTTGTACTTCCGATTGTCGCCCTTACACAAGGCTCAGAATCAAGCTTAATATACTTCTGATTGTCGCTCTTCTACAAGGATAAAAACCTAGCTTAGACTTTTGATTGCCACCCTTCCACAAAGCTCATAATCTAGCTTATATTTCTGATTGTCGCCCTTCCAAAAGGCTCAGAATCTAGCCTATACTTTTGATTGTCACCCTTCAACAAGGCTTAGAATCTACCTTATACTTATGATTGTTGCCCTTCCACAAGATTCAGAATCTAGCTTATACTTCTGATTGTCGCCCTAGCGCAAGACTTGTAATGATAGTTCTTCTTCTTCTGATTGTTGGTCTTGCACAAGACAGGGGTCAAAGATTCTTCACGAGATGATCGGCCTAGTACAAGACATGGTATGTAAATGCCCGTCCTGATTGTCGACATAGCAGAAAGACAATGTATTAAAGTCCCCTTCTTGATTATCAGCCTTGAACAAGACAGGACATTAAAGTTCCTGGTAATAATGGTAATCCTAACACTAAGCAGGGTATGGTATTTCTCGTCGTAAGCGCTGGCCTAAGACAAAGTCAGGGTTTAAAACTTTTCAACGTTATTGTCGGCATTGTAGAAAAAAGTAAAATAACAAAAATACTGAATTCCGAGAAAAGTTCAAAACGTAAAGTACCTAATCAAATGGCAAAATCAAAAACTCAAACACACCAAACGAATGGACAACAACTGTCATATCCCTGACTTGGCATAGGCATTTTCTTATGTAGAAAATGTTGGATTGAACCTGGTTTTATAGCTAGCTAAACCTCTCACTTGTATGACAGTCGCATACAATTTTATATTGACAACGATGTGTGAACAAAACAAACAGACATAATAGGTAAAAATGTCAAAAATAGGGGTACAGCAGTCAACATTGTGTTATAATCTTAATCACTATAAAACAAATAACTGTTTCAACAAAGAAACACAAAATGACACATAGACAAAGCACATAAGCAAAAATGAAAGACAAGAATACAAAAATTTACCATACACAATAACACAGTGACGGGATGTATAAGTACCTAGCCACGTCAAATGGATATTGCCATTAATAGAAGACCGACATTGATGTTTTCTTTTCTGTTTGTTCACTTTATAGTACATAGTATGATATCAAAGTTCTCGTCAATATTGTCGACCTAGGACAAGACAGGATACATGTTTATGTAAATTTTTATCCTGATTGTCGATCAAGGACAGCTAGGACAGGATACTTATACAAAGGCTAGTCCTAGTTGTCGGCCAATCAAATGCAGCGGATGTAAGTTCTCGTCCCAAGTATACATCATGCCACTGGAATACGTAAATAGGAAAAGCAAGTATTATAAGATGACACGTTAAATTACAACATACTTTAGATTTTGGACACATGGAGAACCCTTGAATTACAGAATGAAACCACAAGTCATGAAATAAATTACCTCATCAAGATTAAATCCCCACCCCCTCCCCCCCAAAAAAAACCAAAAAAAAAAACAACAAAAAAAAAAACAAACCCCAAACAAACAAACAAATAATGATTCACTTAAATTAAATATACTGTCTTAATTTTGGATGAAGAAAAACAATAATAGCATTTGTCATGTTTATTATCTAAAAATTATGTTAAATATTCTCAGATCGGTACATCAGACTGTTAAGTGGCACATGGAAAAAAACATCATGCTATCGATCATACAAATGCAAAAGCTGGTTCATACAGAGTTTGCTTTTGTTAACACAGCAGTTTGTTTTAGTTTGAAATCATGTCGCTGCGATAAAAATTCATTTATATACATGAAGTTTTAAAATGTTAAAAAGACACATCAAACGGGAATAACAATATCAAAGAAATACAGGTTAGGAGATTATCAAAAGGACCCCAGAAGTAAACATATATTTCGATTAGAGTGTTCTTGAGCTGAATCTGTACAAGAGTAGAAGACTAGGGTCAATAAGACCCTTGTTTGACCCAAAAATAAGTGTAAATTAAAAAGTCACCGTACATGTTCTGAAATTTGTCTAAATTATACCGAAAAAAAAAACCACAATTATAACGAAATATTGAGGACTTTTGATGTTATGACATCACAATTGAATTACGTCATCATATGCGCCTTTTTTCAAGAAAACAAAGAAAACCACCGAACTTATGCAGTTCTCCATTAATACTTCCTTTCTTGAATAAATCGTGCGCACCGAGAAACAAGTTTATTTTAGTAAGATTATGTCAATAGCTATATATATTATTAAGCCCAAACATTTTCTGCAAATTTACTATAGTTCTTTATATAAAGCCTATTTCTCGAAACATGTCTTTCACCGGAAAAGATCGTTAATTTTGCACGCCTTTATGACGTCATTTACCAGATAATAGTCGCGCCTGTATCCCTGCTCAATTAAAGTTTCAAGCACTTTCAGAATCGTCATTAGTGTAAACATATTTTATTAATTAAATTCAAGTTAAATAATGTACACAATTTGGTATTTACATATTGATACAATTGAATAATTAATAGGATCCGGAAACTGTTAACTTAATTATATTAATCCGTTTCCTAATTTAAATAAGAACATTTCATATTGTAATACTCGTCATTCTGCAGGGTAGTCTAGAAATAACTCATGTTCCGTAAGTACGTGATCTTAATTCCCGTACGACTGAAGGGAGGTTGACCAACTTGTTAGATTTTAATTTCCCAAATAGTTTGTGCAGTATAAGATCAAACTTTTTCACCCGTTCGCTCAACATGTGTTGGAAGTGACGATGCCAACATTTTCGTCACATGACTACCGTACGTATCCCGGAACTGGCGATTGGGTAAAAAATTAGCATGAACGTCCCTTCCTTTGCAACATATTCTCGTATATATTACGTATGTATATATTAAATTTGACAATTGTAAAAAAAGATGTATTAGGGAACGAACATTTAACTTCAATGGGGGAGGGGTTGTGTTACGGTTTTTTCCTAACCATACCCCCTGTGAAGTTATGTGGTTGTTCCCTTAGATTATGGCCATAAAATAAACAAAAGAAATAATGACAGCACTCTGTAGGCCGGCTGACATTATTGTTTTCATTACACACAAAAACTTGAAAAAATATTTTTTTTGTATCAATCAAATTTATCAACTATTTGTTGACCATCAAAATTCGTTCAAATTAAATTCAATCATAGTTTTTCAATCTTAGTCGAAGTACAATGGGTTAATGTCTTGAATATCTGCCCTACATATTGGACAGCGCTGGTTTTCCCCCACATAAACTTCTGTGGCACACTCCATACAGGTAGTGTGGCCACACGGTAAAATTACGGCATTTTTCTCACGGTCCATGCATATGGTACATTTCCTGGAAGAATCCTTAATTTGCTGAAATGAATTTAAAAAACTCATCATAGATACCATATATTAATGTTGAAATTTTGTACGACAGATGCGAGTTTCGTCTACATAAAACTCATCAATTACGCTCGAATCAAAAAAATTAAAAAGACCAAACAAAGTCGAAGTTTTAGAGCATTGAAATGGTTATCATGGTAATTTTGATGTTTAATATGTATTTTTTTTGACAACTTTCTTCAATATTGTACAAGCTATAAGATAAAATGACAATCATGAGGTAGTTCAAAAAGAAATTTATTTAAACTCGCTACGAAACAGGAGAAAAGCTTGTTTATGTATAAGCAAATCTGATAAATAAACTCATCATAGATACCAGGATAAAAAAATTTGTACGCCAGGCGCGCGTTTCGTCTACAAATGACAGATCAGTGACGCTCGAATAAAAAAAAATTAAAAAGGCCAAATAAAATACGAAGTTGAAGAGCATCGAGGACATAAAATTCCGAAAAAGCTAGTCTAATGTAGATAAGATAATCTATTCCTGGGGTAGAAAAATCCTATAAAATATGCTTAGAAGATCACAGTGATTAATTCTACAAGATTGAAACAAATGAAAATTGTTTAAATAAATAACTTTGAGGCACTTTTTCTAAAGTCTAGAGGTCTGACAGTATAAGATACAGTATGAAGGAATTTGTACACATTGTCGTTCAAAATGGCGACAAAAGGGAAATAACATTAACTCAAACTAAAAATAATTTATTTACCAAACCGCGCAATTTCCTTAAGAGTTGTTCATGTTTTTCCTTTTCTCTCTCTTGTTTGCCGACCTCCATGTCCCCTGTAAAGAAGAAAGATGATATACAAAAGGTTTATGTTGAAATTAAATCATACATAGAGATAAGGAGATGTGATATTGCGAATGAGATAATCAACTTCCAGAGTCTTAATGACGTGGATGTAAGATACGTTAGGTCACCATACGGCCTTCAACAATCAGCAAAACCCATACCATATAGCCGAGACCCCAACATGACAAATTGTGAAACATTTAAATCGAAAAAAAAAACCGATGGCCTGACAATTACGACAGACATTCTATTAACTTTCATTTGTGAAATTTGATGTGTAGACTCCTAGTTCGCATCGGTTATGTATAATGATGGAAGAACTAGAAAAATATAAAATTATAGTGTTTATGCAACGGCATTCAATATATACTGACTGACTTTAAAAACGCAACACTCATTTTGTAGAATTTTTTTACCAAATCATGTTTGATTCTCATACATCTACTATTCATGCTTATCATACTTCTTTCTCTTTCGAAAAAATCAACATCTGACTTACCTGTGGTTATTGACACACCGGATTACTAGTATTGAGATCGCATGAATTTCAGAATGCGAAATTTCGAACCAATAAAAGATTTTTTCATTTTTTTTTCTTTGTGAAACAGTTCTTTCAATCCTTGGCCACACTTAAATCAGTTAAAAAATGTTGCATCTCCATATTGCCAAGACTGAGGAATACAAGACTGAATCAACCCATTAGAATACTGCAAACAGGAAAACGTGAACGTGCTGCAACCAGACAATTTGACGTCAGCAACTCGTCTTACTGTCCTTCCGACAATGATACCGGTAGACGGGATTTGTTGAAGACCATCAAAGACCAGATCAACATGTAGTGACAATACAACGTCAATAGAATTTGATTACGCAACGTCATTTGTGAGACAGGTCTACAGCCGCAACGTCAACTGCTAATTAAATTGCTGAATGCCATTTTGCACAGATTAATGCCATAAATGTTTCCCATTAACTGAACTGCCAAAGAATCGACTGCAGAAAAAACATTTAAAGCCTTAAAGTTTCAACCGCATCATTGCCAAAACCCATTGTATTGGGTGGAACAACGGCAAAATCAGAAGGTGCAAAACAGTACCCAAAACGTGCCGAACAGAATTGGTTGACCTTTCTGATAATCATTTTGGCGTTAGTTACAGGCAGTCATTGCTTTTGACGGTGACACGTTCATTGGTAAGGGGAAAACCAGGGTTTCAGTATATACCACAATGTTTCAACATTGAAAATGACGTATTCAATTCAACTTTCGAACTGGCATTTTGTTTTAAACATTGAAGTAATGAAAGAACTTTCTGTTCATAAGTTTGTTGACAAAAAAATTGCATATTTGAAAATGTGAATTTAAAAGAATAATCTAGTGTTGCGTTTCTAAAGTCCGTAAGTATATAATATGAAGTCCAGGTACTATTCTCTAAGAGAATTCAACACAAAAAATTATTCTCCGAACTTAACCATCAATTATACCAGCAATATTATTAACAATATTTAATAATTCTTTCTTTGTTTGTATGATATATCCCGATTGTAAAATCTTTTTTAACCGGTACGGACAAACTCCCAAAACGACTTTTTGTGTAACTATGAAAGAATCAAATACTAGAAACGAAACTCGTGTTTTGAAAGCCACTTGTTCGATGACATTGCTGGTGGCAATCGGCAATCCTCGGGTGAATCCGCTACACATCTATGAAGGTACAGTATCGTCCGAGTTGTGACAAATATGCTGGTGGATGTTTCGTCCCCGAGGGTATCATGCACAAACAAGCTCGGTAGTTAGCATTTTGGTGTTGAAATGAACTATTTATAAAAAGAAGATGTGGTATGATTGCCAATGAGACAACTCTCCGCAAGAGACCAAATGACACAGAAGTTAACAACCATAGGTCACCGTCCGACTTCAACAATGAGCAAAGCCAATATCGCATTGTCAGCTATAAAACGCCCCGAAATGACAAATGTAAAACAATTCAAACGATAAAAAATTTACGGCCTAATTTATGTACAAAATAATGAACGGAAAACAAATATGTAACATAGAGAATGAACTATTTATAAAAAGAAGATGTGGTATAATTGCCAATGAGACAACTCTTCAGAATAGACCAAATGACACAGAAATTAACCACTATAGGTCACCGTACGGCCTTCAACAATGAGCAAAGCCCATATCGCATAGTCAGCTATAAAACGCCCCGAAATGACAAATGTAAAACAATTCAAACGAGAAAACTAATGTATGTACAAAATAATGAGCGAAAAACAAATATGTAACATAGCAACAAACGACAACCACTGAATTACAGGTTACCACATCTTCTTATTTATATCATTGGTAGGTTAATTTTCTGTAACTATACTGTTTGTACAATATTAACTTATTCGAAAACACTAAGGGTTTCTACCCCATGCACCCATTGCCTCAACCGTTATTGGCAAGGCTTTTCGGAAGTTTTCGTTTATTATTCCTCTTCAACTTTGAATTTAATTTGGCCTTCCAAATATTTTGATTCTAGTGCCACTGATGTGTTTAATATACGGCCTTCAACTATGAGCAAAACCCATATCGCATAGTCAGCTATAAAACGCCCCGAAATGACAAATTTAAAACAATTCAAACGAGAAAACTGACAAATTTAATTTGGCCTTCCAAATGTTTTGATTCTAGTGCCACTGATGTGTTTAATATACGGCCTTCAACTATGAGCAAAACCCATATCGCATAGTCAGCTATAAAACGCCCCGAAATGACAAATTTAAAACAATTCAAACGAGAAAACTGACAAATTTAATTTGGCCTTCCAAATGTTTTGATTCTAGTGCCACTGATGTGTTTAATATAGACGAATAACCCGTCCGGTAAACCGAATTTTAAATTCTCCCTCGCCCTGCTCGTCCGAATTTAAAGTATTTCTACTCTTAATTCAACTGGCTATAAACAAGACAAACACAGAAATAGGATTAGTTGCTCGCAGTAAGTACTGTTGCAGAACTAGTATCAGAACTTGTCATGTACTAGTTCCCATCTATGTATAAGTACTACAAATAGCAAACGGGAAAAACCCAATTTCAAATAAATGAAATTATATATAAACCTGGTATTTGTTATGAGGTTTAAAAAGATACTCACTTTTCTTTTTCAAATCAGCAAAAACCTTTACAGAATCAACAATAACGTTTCTAGAATCAGCAATCCTCTTTTCAGAATCAGAAATTTTCTGGCTCAAATTATCTAAATATTTTTTGCAATCATTTAGCGCATAAGTTTCGTTCTGTACGGAGGGACTAACTTTAGGCTTTCTTGGGACCAATTGCTGTAAAGTCAAATGTATTATACAGCATAAGAAAACATCATTGATCGAGATTAAAAAAATGAACCAACAGTTTGTTAAGCTGCGGTCACACCTTAACGGATAGCTCGAACGGACGCCGAACGGACGAAAAAAACGTTTTCTGTTGACAAAATGTGTATCCATTGGGAGTCCGTTGGTGTACTGACCATATAAAACGGACGCATAACGAATGGTTAACGGACACACACCGGATATGTAACGTTCGAGAAACAGAAACGTACCGGACAGAACGGATGTCGAACGTATATCCAACGGACGAGTACCGCATAAAACGGACACCTAACGAAAGCGTACCGGATAAAACAGACGAACAAGATAAGCGGGAAATTAAAGGCGGCAATATTAATACATGTAAATCACATAAACGTGACCTTAAAAGAATTTAAAAGTTTTCGTGTAACTGGTTGTAGTTTATAGTCTAGAAGGTTTATATTTGCAACATTTAAGTTCAGTCTGGCCTAAATAAGAGTTGTTTGATAGTGAAGACGTGCCCTTACTCAGCCATCCATTATGAATAATAAACATTCATGACATTCAAGAAATCTGACAAACCAATAATTGGCATTTCTAACGCGAAATTTTCAATTGGCATTTATTCGTTTTACATTCGGTACGATCCATTTTATTCGTTATCCTTCCGTTCATGTCCGTTTCACATCCGTTTATCATCCGTCTTATACGTTATACGTTCGTTATACGTCCGGTAGTAGTCCGTTGGTGAATTGGTCTACCGGACCATCAACGGATGTATAACGGACAAGTAACGGATACATAACGGAAACGAAACAGACGAGTACCGTTAAAAACGGACGACTACCGGACGTTAAATGGACACGTTATCCGTTGGACGTCCGTTCGAAGTTTTGAACATGCTCAAAATTTTCACCGGACAGAACGGACGTCGACGGATAAAACGGAAGCTGAACGGACATGAAACGGATATGGACGGACGTCTAACGGATATGAACGGACTTCTAACGGACATGAACGGTTTGAAAAAAATTTATCCGTTCGGCTTCCGTTCGCGCTATCCGGTAAGGTGTGACCGGGGCTTAATGCAATTTTGGATAATGTCAACTTAGATAATTGTATGTAAAATAATGTAAACATATACGTCAATATGACAGCAAGCCAAAACACCACAAACTCCCAAAAAGCGAAATAAATGGCTTTACAAATTGTTTACGGATACAAAACAGTTCTCTGAAGGATGTTCGATTTTCTGTTTCGAAATAAAAGGCTTTTTAAAAGACTAAAGAATGACATTATAGAAATAAAGGAACATAAAAAGAAGAAAAAATATACTGTAGGTGCGTTGTCCTTTTTTTTTAGGAAAAAGGTAATTAAAAAATTGGCGGGAAATGATTTTCTCTAGACTATTCATACATTTAACATTTGCACATTTTTTCTTTCAAAAACTATGAAAAAATACAAGGATTTTATAAGATTTCCCAAAGATAGCTTTTAAAAGTATATAATTACATTACATGTATGTTTCATTATAATACGTTATTTTGATTGGCTAACAGCAATCTCGCGTCATTCTGAAATTAACCTTCATTTCAAAATGAATTGTAACATTCATGATGACACGAGCTTCCACAATAAAGTGCACAGGTAAATAAAAGAAAAACTTGATAGAAATCGTGTTTTCATGATCCTAGCAAAAAATGTAATTATAAGTATTGAATGCTTCTTTTAGTAATTTTATATGGCGGTAAAAGCGTTGACCGTGCGCACATTTTTAGAATGAAGCGCTTACGCGCTTCATACAAAATGTACTTCGGTAAACGCTTTTACACCCCAATAAATTTACAAAAAGAAGCATTCAATTCTTAAACATATGTATGTAATAAATTTATGAAAAGAAAAGTAGTATTTTGCGGGCAAAATTTTTATTGGCTATACATGGATAAAACTAGAGGATTCTGAATATCTGACAAACGTCAAAAACAAGAGAAGCGAACATCCTTGAAACTCTTGATAGAGAGAAAAAAAACTGCACTATTCACAGAGGTCCATTGATATATTCTCTTGTCGTAGTCGTAATTATGTCCTCGTTTTCGTGTTCTGACATAGCCGAATAAGACTTATCACAGAAAGAGGGAGGACTAATTGTACAAGAATTTATTTCACACAAGGGCTATTTTTAAGAAGTCTAATAATCTCTACTTAAAATCCGTAGTATCACTGGCAAATAGTTCTTACAATATTATTGTCTATTTCTGAGAAGATCACTCAGCTAGGAACTCTTGGAGTTAGCACATAATGCAAAATTCGGAAAATTTGAGTATCTATCTCTAACAGGTATTAAAAGGATACAACATTTGACAAAATAGGTAAAATGTACTATTTTGTATCAAAATGCCGTCAACAGCAACGTGTAGCGCTGAATACATTTTGAGTCGATAGAAGTATGTAAAATTGTTTTTAAAAAAAATATTTTAAGTTTATGATAAACACTTTCCTGCAGAACTTGACAACTTTTGATTTTTGTGATTGAAACAAATGCACGGGAATTGGGTCTACCTCTATTTACCTGCAACGAGTGACACGAATGGTGCTACAAGTTGACAAAGAACTTCTTACCTTTTCTGAACATTTGAGTTCACCTTTTTTTAAGGGGATTTGTGAAGCTTACACTTAGTTTTTATTATTGTATTTCATTTCAATCTTAGTTTTCAATATATGTGTTGGTTTTAACCTTTATCTTAATATAATGTATAATCACATAAGAAGGCTGATGCACGCATTTAAACAGTTGTGACACGACAGGCGTTACTAGAAGATCTAGAGCAGTAACCGCTGCACATTTTGACTTTGTTATACGTCGCCTTTAAAAAACCATCATGCATTTGTTCTCATGGTTAAGCAGCTTTCTATAGTCTAAACAATTAATTCGTCACGCACCAACAAGTGTTTACATATTATATACCAGGTATTGTTGACAAAATTTAAGATGGAACGGTTAAAAATTGCAGGGTTTTTCAAGAAAGTTCTACTATACAGGTACATGTAATTTTATAGTTTTACCGTATTATCCCGAACTTCCTCCAAAAAAGGAGTTCTCATCCTAGGTGTATCCACGTTATCGGTATCGTTGCTTTGGATAGCAAGTAAACCAGAGCAACTGGGACTGCGGACATACGGTGATATTTCTATGCCGTGAGCAGGGCACATAGTGACTTGTCGCTGTGGTTGTGCTACCAGTCCGACGTAAGATGTTGGATTGACCATACCATATGCAGTTGGATTGACCATGCCATAAGGCGTTGAACTGACCATACCATATGACGTTGGATTGACCATGCCATAAGGCGTTGAACTGACCATACCATATTGCGCTGGACTGACCATACCAAATGGATTTTGTTGTATAAAGTTTCCACCACCAACCATCTACAAGTATAAATTATTTGAGTTTTGAAATCAAAGCTAATAAATTTAAGTAATTGCATTACAAATATCCGGTGAATTGAGTACACGGTTTTTTTTTCCTTAAGTCCTTTATAATCTACAACCTTAACAGTGGTTGTCGTTTGTTGGTGTGGTTCATAGGTGTTTCTTGTTTCTCGTTTTTATATAGATTAGACAATTTGGGGCCCTTAATAGCTTGCTGTTTGGTGTGAGCCAAGGCCCCGAGTTGAAGGCCGTACTTAAACCTGTAATTGTTAACTTTTTATACTCTGTGACTTTGATGAAGAGTTGTCTCATTGGCACTCATACCACATCTTCTTATCTATATCATGTATACAATCGTAATCGTTCTAGCCTTTGATCTGTTTCTTGTATTTGTACAGCGGACTTATGACTTTTTATATAATCATGGTATTTTTTGAATACTTTTCACATATTTTCATCTTCGTCGGGGCCTCCTTTCAGAGCATGTTTGGTTTATCTTATTGTTGAAGGACTCACGGTGACTTATAGTTGTTACATCCACGTCGTTAAGACTATGGTGGATAGTATTGTTGAAGTGTGTATCTGGTGTAGTAAAATTTGTACCGTTAATTTTTTTACTACCATTTTGTCGAAACCCGCTATGATGATTTACTGTAAGGCTCGAGTTCGTTGCATTTCCGTCAAAAACTTTGGTTTTAGTGAACACCATTCGTGCGTTTAGGGGCATCTTCACTTCCTTCTCATGTTGAGCGATCGGTTGAAAATATATAATGCTATATTGCACGAATTATACATGTTATATGTAGACGTATATTCCCTTAATGTACATGCATGATATCTATTGAATTTAAGTTTGGACGAGTGGACGAAAATGAGGGAGAAGATACCATGGGTGCAGTCAAAAACTATTAATCAACTGACAACAGCATCCATTGAATCCATATACATTCTACCTTTTATTGAAATCTTAGCTGGAGATGAGTTGCGCATGTGTTAAACTTGTTAAGTAACTAACGAGAAAAAAAATGTCATTTTGGAAAGTGAAAAACGGGGGCCAATTGGAAAAATGATTCAATTGACTGATTCAACCCACAAAAAAGGCTTTCTTTAAAACGATGATTTACATATTTTTGTATGCTATGATATGAAATCAAACAGACCTAGAAAAATGGCCATTATACGATTGCACGGGCTTGTCTGTCTATTTATATTTATGTTTATGTTGAGTGACATAATTATCGGCAAACTTAGGTAGTCATCTCGATGGATAACTAGATAGCGTCTTATCTTAAATACGCATGCAATTCTGATTCAATAGAAAGATTCCATGCATTTTTAATTTTTGGAATTTTTGAAAATTGAATATACGTTAAAGTATGGTATACATCAAAATTTGTGTTAAATCGGTCAACATGAACTTGACAGCTTAAGCCTATAGAAGGAGACTAAGACTCCCCCGTCATTTGCCGCGAAGAAAATGGTTGAGTATTAAAAGTCGTATATCTTACACATCAACAAATCAAAAAGTCATTGATCTTCGCGTGAAAATTTTATAATCCTATACATGACGATATGGATATTATTTTGGGAAAAGGGGCATTCTTTTCTCTATTTATGATTTATCCTAATATCCTATTGTCATATGTATAAGTATATATATTCTTTATGTGATCGTTATGATATAAGAACAAAGTTATTATAGAAACCTAATGATCCTGATAAAAGAGGGCCGAAAGATACCAGAGGGACAGTCAAACTAACAGATCGAAAACAAACTGACAACGCCATGGCCAAAAATAAAAAGACAAACAGACAAATAATAGTACAGATGACACAACATAGAAAAACTAAAGACTAAGCAACACGAACCCCACCAAAAACTGGGGGTGATCTTAGGTGCTCTGGAAGGGTAGGCAGATCCTATACTAACTATAATAATTCCGAGGATTGACGAAAAGACAAAGCTTTCCATTTTGTCGATTTAAATGCAAAAACATCCTGAACGTTTTTAGTAATGTATAGAATTTAAATTTGATTTTTTGTGTTTTAACGCCACTTTTAAGCACCGCTTTTGGGCTATTTCGTGGCGGCCAGTTTTTATTGGTGGAGGAAGCCGGAGTGCCCGGAGAAAACCACCGACCTTCGATAGGAAAACTGACAATCCTAGTCAATTAAGATTGGAGTCGAGTGCACCCGCACGAGCGGGGTTCGAACTCAAAACCTCAGTATTGACTGGCTAGTGATTACAGTAGTATAGAATTTAAAACCAATACACGAAATACTTGTGCAGCAGACCATTTAAACCAAGATGACAAATTTTACACAAATAATAATAATATAAAGATTTAAAATATATTGATCATTTTATTCAAGGAAGTATTTTCTATCTAAAATCTCCGTATTAGTAAAAATCAATTTAACAAGGGGCGAATTATTTAGCAGTCCAGATAGAACGTAACGATCGAGTCAAGTAAAATATAAAAGGAAATAATTAAAGATCTGATAATTTATAAGAAGTATTGTAAAGGGAAAATCAACGAGTGACATCAGTTGCGAATTTTTTGTCTCCGAACCCACTTCTACTTATAAATTTTACTTACATAAAAACAGGAGATGTGGTACGATAACCAATGAGATAACTAACAACCAAAGGTCAAATGAATTGTATGTAAGCAATATAAGCTAGCTGTCAGTGACTGCGAGTACTCTCATGTCTGTACTTTGTTTCTTTTTTGTTGTTAGGTACGTATGAATACCCTGCCAAGTCTGGTCTGTGTTTTTCGTAAGATGTTTTCTGCTTTGTATCGATCTGATGAGTTATACCTTTTCAACTGATTTTTATAGTGTGTTCTTATGTTGTACTGTTTCACCACTGTCCCAGGTAATCGGAAGGGTTTGGCACCAGCAAACTAGTTTCCCCTCCGCCACGTGTTATATGTGTCTTCCCAAAGCCAGGAGCCTGTAGTTCAGTGGTTTTCGTTGGTTCATGTCTGTCATATTTGGTTTTTGTTAATTGTTTTGTTACCAATTAGGCCGTTAGGTTTAGGTTTTTCTCAATTGTATTGTTTCGTATTTTCATGTAGGGACCTTTTATAGCCAACAATACGGTATTGGTTTTTTTAATTGTTTAAGGCCGTACGGTTGCCTATAATTGTTTACATCCTATTCATTTGTCTCATTGGCAATCATACCACATAACCTATTTTTAAATACAGTAGCTATTTTTGGTGATCGGTTAGCGTTCTAGAGTTCAAGTGTTCCTTTTCTTTTTTAAAAGAAAGCAACTTGTTTTACAAATCGGTTTATACCATGAACACTATCTCATATACTACGCCGACAATCAGGGCGGAAAAGGTCGTTATGATAGCAATGACGACTTAAAATGAAAACGTGCCCGCTCTCAAAATATCATTATCCTCTCTTCTATTTCTTTTCTAATATCTGACCATTATGAAATTATGAAATTAGGAACAGAGTTATCAAAAGCCTAACATTCTTTCTGAAATACTTTCTGCACTATTCTGATACCCTTCCGTGGACCTGACAAAAAGAAAATCCCAGCCACCCCACTTTGTCTATTAAAAAATATTATAATTACAATTGAAACAAATTAAACCCAATACAAGAAATACGTGGGTAGAAGACCAATGCATAGGTACATGTAATGCAAAAAAGCAATTTTAAAAAAGGTTAATAATTAAATATTATCTTAGGTCAACCACAAGGACGATACAAATATGCTGTTTTGTTCAAACATTTAATTTGTTTTTAAATTCTCGGTATAAATTAAGCACGATTATAAAAGGGACGAATAAATTCACCGTACCGAAGAGTAACTATGTTAAAGTTACCAGAGTCCGGTTAAATATAAAAGATAAAAATGAGAGAGAAGAGAAATTCTAAGACATATTCTATTCGTAAAGGATAATTTACGAGTGACGTCAGTTGCGAGTTGATTATCGTTTCAATACCTCTAATTCGTATAAGTTCTCTTAGTAAAACCATTTCATGTTAAAACCTTAAACACAGCGTATTTCAGGTTGTGCCTTTAATTCAACCGAAATGTTTCTGGAAAAAAATGTTTAGTGTCGTTTATATTTTATTCAGGAATGATCTTATCCATATAAATCACATCTTTGATTTGGAATCCGATAATTTGAAGAAGTTACACATAACTTATGATTTAGTATATATCGATTATGCTATTGCTCAGAAAGTCAATACTAGTATTCCATCAAAAGTGTGAGACATAGTACACTACCATCAAGAAGGCAGTTAACTACAATATAAAGTGAATTATTGATTTGAAAAGGAAGAATTAACTCAGCTTTAGGTTGCACTTTGTAAATACAGCTGTTTCACAAACCACGCCTCTTGTGCTTTGAATTTATGCGAAAAACAGATTCCATCAAGCAGTTCTATAAAACTTTTCGTAAATTCATATATCAGACTGGTTAATTCATACATACAATTTTTGCAAATATGGCTATGTTTAAACACTTCTAGTCATATATTAGCCAACTTATGTTAGGTATATGGTACAAATTGTAATTTGATGAAACTGAGACAGAATTTTATTTGGAAGTAAAAAACCTGCTCTTTTATTGCATTTTATGTGAAGTAATACATATTAGTTAAATGAAAATTATGTTGCAGTGTAATTACATGTTACATTTGAATAAATATAAGTAAAGGCAACAAAAGTAAATTACAAATCCGAGTCAGAAATTGTGAATTTTTATAGATAAATAGGCCTTTAGTAAGATGTGGACTGGAGACAGAGGCAGGATTGGATACTTTATATATAATCTTGAATGTTGTAATGATTAACTAGTAAACTTTACATTTGAAATGTTTTCAATTTGTTATCAGAATTGTTTCATACAAGTTCTAGGCATTTCATGTCAGAAAACATGCTCATAGGGTAAGCTGACATTAATTAAAGTCTTGTTTTCAAATTCTTTAAAAATTGAAACAGGAGTGGGGGTATAAAATGTACTATAAAAGAAAAGTAAGAGCATATGCAGTGATTTCTTTTAGTCTATGATTCTGAATAAAAACTATTGTTGTGAGAAAAAGTGTTTTTTCAAGATTTTTCTATTTAAATAAATGTTAGTATAGGTTGCACTTTGTAAATACAGCTGTTTCACAAACCACTCCTCTATTGGGGAGGTATGTAATATTCATAGATATTTTGTTTTGTTTACAGTACCTACTGGTTCCAGATATGATCTCTGTTTCGTCTCGTAGAGACATAGCTTGGGAATGTTACCAGTATAAATACACATGAATAACGGCCAAATTGAAATATGTGGAAGACCCAAATGAAGGGAGGGGTAATACAGAATTTTAGTATATTAAGTTTAAACTCTTAGAAGTTCGGGGCATATATATGTTGAAAATAGCCACACAGCCCTATATTTTGAACTTTTAAAAAAATAGTAGTGATATAAGCTTTATATTCTAGGATATAATTTTTTACGAAACTTCATAGTTAGAGAGGTACAGTTTTAGCCGTAAAAGGAGTTCCTATGAGAAATAGCATCGCTGTATTTACAGAATTGCAACCTTAGGTCGTAGGACCAATTCTAAATATTCTTTTTACTTCGCATTTCCAAGTTGACAATACTAAGTTTAAAGTTTACATTTCTCACTTTTAAGTTAAAGTTAAGAAATGTCAACACCATTAAAAAAAGTCAACTCCATTAAAGGAAATGTCAACTCCATTAAAAGAAATTTCAACTCAATCAAAAGAAATGACAATCCATTAAAAGCAATGTCAAGTTGAAATTGAGAAATATCAAGTTAGAAGTAAAAATTTAAAAATGGAAATGAAAAATTAAAAAAATGCAATATCTCTACTGCTCTTTCGTACTACTAGGCAATCGAATATAAAAAAAATGATAACATAATTGATTTGTAAACGAAAAAGAAAAATCATTGCATTGAAGCAGCTGTTTTTTAACTGCTTCAAGATCAGACATGAGTTGGCTTACAATATTGATTTAGAGCTTGAGTTAATGTTCAGATAGCAGTTTGAGGTCTAGTTTAAGTCTTGTCTTGTGATAGGTTGAACTTGCGCACAATCTAATATATAAGGCTACCAAGTCGAGTTGACTATAAATTTATCTGCTGAGTGCTAGGATGACAATCAAAACTAAATGTTAACGTGCCTGCTCACAAAGTATTTACTTCATCACCCGCTACTTTTTCTAGAACGCATGCATGTTAAATGATCGTACGGTTAGTGGATATATGTATCAATAATGATGTATTATTTAGATGACTGTTTTGTTAGGAACAAAGGTATCGAAAACCTAACAATCCTACTAAAAACTCACTGCACTATTTTGATAAATTTCCTAGGATCTGGGCAAAACACAAACCCAAACCCTGCCGTTTTGACTATTTAAATACAATAACATCCTTCTCGATTTTAGTGATAAATAGAATATTTAAAACCAATACACTTATTATTGTGCAGCAGACAAAAGCCAAGGTAACGCAGTTAAATTATTGATTATTTTTTTATTAATCAATATCAATTTTACAGGGAAAAATAGATTTTGCTGTCCTGAACGATCTAAGAGTAGATTCATACGTAACTTTGGAGGCTTGTTTTGATATAAATTAGGCCGTTAGTTTTCTCAAATCAATTGTTTCTTAGTTTTCATGTCGGGGCCTTTCATTGCCTATTATATGGTATGGGTTTGTCTGATTATTGAAAACCGTACAGTTGCCTATAATGGCCTACCTCCACTTCATTTGAGCTGTGGTGGATAGTTATCTCCTTGGCAATCATACCCCATCTCCTTGATGTTTATATTGTTCTTTCCATCTTTTCGTGCAGTGTTTTTGAACTTGTACTTTAGATGCTTTCTGATTCGTTGCATATGTATCGTTTTAAACCTAAAACTGTTAAAAAACTATTTACTTAAAGCCATGTCATTTTATTAAAAAGAATTCAGCAGCTTAGTCTGTAGTCGACCAAACACAATCTAATATACTTAGCCTGCTACCAGAGTAGACAAAAAAAAAATCATCTGCTTTGACAATTAAGACTAAATGTTAATGTTAACTAAAAAAGTACCAATTTCCCCATTCGTACTTTCTTTTCTAATACTCATGAGAGCTGCGTTGTTGATTCATATATGAATCATTTTGTATTCTTCAGATGACCGTTATGATATTAGGAACAAAGTTATCGAAAACTTATAATCCTTATGAAATACTTACTCCACTACTCTGATAAAAATTCCTAGGATCTGCCGAAAAGAAAAATCCTGCCATTTTGTCTATTCAAATATTATTATGTTTAAGGAAGAATTTGAACCCAATGCACGAAATACTTGGGCAGTAGACCAAAGCATAGGTGCGTGTGTACCGCTATTATAAAAAAGGTTAATAATTAAATAATGTCTTAGTCAACAATCAAGACGAGAAATATATTTGTTTTAATTAAATTTTCAAATAAAACACAAAATCATATATGACATGACACGTCACCTCAATTTAATCCCGTACAAAAGCAGCTATTACATTGAACTACCGTAACGGTGTACGACTAATTGAATTAACTTATCGAATTTTTTTATTTTTGTAAAATGTTTTGAATCAGATATAAATTAGGCCGTTCGTTTTTCTCAATTGAATTGTTTCATATTTTTCTTGTCGGTTCCTTTTATAACCGACTAAACATTGTTGGTTTTTCTCATTGTTGAAGGCTGTACGGCTCCCTATAATTGCTCACATTCACTTCATTTGAACTTTGTTGGGTTGTTGTCTCATTGGCAATCATAACACATCTCCTTATTTTTATAGTCCTTTTTCTTATCACAGGGGCCTCGGTGGCTGAGTGGTCTAAGTAGTTCAACTACTGTAATCAATATTCAGTCAACACTGAGGTTGTGAGTTCGAACCCAGCTCGTGCCGGTGCATTCGACCACAATCTTAATTGACTATGATTGTCAGTTTTCCTACCGAAGGTCGGTGGTTTTCTCCGTGCACTCCGGTTTCATCGACAAATAAAAATTTACCGCCACGAAATAGCACAATAGTGTTGAAAGTGGCGTTAAACACCAATCAGTCTTACTACACGATCAAAAGAGACAGACAAATCCTGTAATATGTTGTAGTGTCTCTATCGTGTCAGAAATATTTTCAAGTTCTCTTATTTTTTTGGAAGTCCTTTTTTGTCGAGTGCATAGCCCAAGTATTTCATTCACGCGCTTGTGAAAAAAGTACGCTCGACTCATGTCTTGATTGACTAGGATTGTCGAAAGCCGATGGTTCTCTTCTGGACTCCTAAATAAAAAACAGTCCACAATAATAAAGCCAACTGTGTAAAAAGTGGCGTTAAACACCAACAATCAATCAATCTTACTTTTGATAGCAGAACTTTGATAGTTTTTTGTTTGTTTTCATAAGTGTTGTTTAATGTTGTGTCGCTCATGTGTTGTCTGTTCTTTTTAATTGCTGTTTGTAAACTGATTATTTATGTGATATTGAAAAAAAACTCAGTTATCTTATGTTTAATGAGAATATGGTTCATATTTTAGCTAGTTCCCGTTTTTCTTTGTTTTAAGGAAGAAAACATACTGAAATCTAAAAGTTATTATTTTTTATTTCTTATATTGTTAAAGGGGTACGAGCTGTCAAATTCATGTTCACCGATTTGACTCAAATTCTCATATTTCATTTATAACAATGTAAAACATTTATCCATACTATAAAAAGTCTAAAATAAACAATTTACAGGGCATGGGCTCGAGAATATGTAACTTCGTTTCGTGTGTATTTTAGTCTAGACGCCATCTAATTTACTATCGAGTTGACCTCCGGAAACCTCCAATGGTCATATAAGCGATATAAACATAAATATAGATATAAATAGAAACGAAATCGTGCATTTGGATTTTTCTAGGTCTGTTTAATTTCATATTATAGATTAAAAATATATGTTAATCATCGTATTTACCTGTATAAGAATGATATTTGATATGGACCGAATCAGTCAATCAAACGATTTACCTTTGTTTCACTTTCAATATTGACATTCTTTTCCTTTAAATAACTCAACACGCATAAATCATGTGTAATCCATCTGTAGCTAAGGGGTTAAATTGAAGTTCACATGAATACGGATTCAATGAGGTCGAATTATTCACTTGCAAGTGAATAATTAGTCGTCGATGTTTCTTGGCTTATTTTGACAAAATTGAACAATAATGGCAGCTAAAAGCGAATTATTATTTCACTATTTCACTCTCATTAATGATTGAACCAAAAAAATCATAATTTTAATTTTTTATGTATCTCGTAGCTAGTGCCCCTTTAACGAACTACTTAATTACTACGTGTATGTATAAGATATAAAAAAGAAGATGTGGTATGATAGATGTCTCTTTTAAAGATAGTGTCTCATGAGCCGTTTTATTTTAAACACAAATGTTTGGACAGTGTTTTCATTGTAAAATGAAATAAAAAAGTGCAGTGTTACCCATACAGTTTAAATTCTAATTCGTAAACTCAAACAAACATAAAATATTTATCAAATAACCACAAACTCTTACATGGGAGACGCCACTTGCAGAGACAAGCGCACATTTTATTATAAATATGAGTATAATATTGCGGAAAGTTCATATAAATACACAGGTATTAAGCAGCTTGTACATGTACTGGTTTTCCCATACTAGTGGTCTACAAATCTGAAAATAAATAATATAATTAATAATATTATTTATTTGGCAAAATGCTACTGTACACTTTGACTGCAATGGCTCGAATGACTTTATGAACTCAATATCTCAATCGAACCGACCTTACTATAATTAAACAAACACTAGTCAACTATAAACAAACAACATTTTTACATGTTCGATTTTTGTACAACTTTGATAAATACATTTAAATTCTAATTCGTAAACTCAAACGAACATAAAATATTTATCAAATAACCACAAACTCTTACATGGGAGACGCCACTTGCAGAGACAAGTGCGCTCGAAACACAAAGAACGGGAAAATAGCATTGAATATTTATTTGAATTCCTAAATTTTGATAAACAGATAACTGTGCTTTAAAGTCTTCTCTAACGTAACCATCCTTTCCTCTGTCCCATTTTAACCTGTTATGATTCAGAAAAATCCTATCAGAAATACAGGCGTTAGCACTGGCTCTTGTATATGAAAGACGTCTGGAATCATTTCGAAACCTATGAACATTGGACTGCTCAGTGAATGTTATTTTAACTAAAAATTATAGTCAAGGTGTATGTCAGCATCTTTAATATAGCTATTTAAAGAAGTTTATTTATTATTTTTTTTTAAAAATAATATACCAATATGCATATCTGAAGTTCAGCCTAATAGCTTCAATAACAATCAGTATTGTTTAATATTCGCCCTAGTGACTTTAATAATAATATGCTAAGTTTCTTTAATAATAAACAGTCCAGTGGCTTCATCAACAACCACCTGCCCGTTTTCTGTAATAACAAACCTGTCCAGTGTTTTCAACAGCAACCAGCACAGTGTCTTCAATAACAACCTACCCAGTGTCTTCAAAAACAACCAGCCAAGTGCCATTAATAACAACATGCCAAGTGTTTTCAACGACAATCAGCCCAGTGTTTTTAATAACAAACCTACCCAGTGGCTTATACAAAAACAGGCCCAGTGTCTTCAACAACAACCAGCCCAGAATTTTCAACAACAACCAGCTCAGTGTCTTTAATAACAACAAGTCCAGTGTCTTCAATAACAACCTGCCCAATGTCTTCAACAACAACCAGCACAGTGTCTTCAATAACAACATGCCTAGAGGCTTCAACAACAACCTACCGAGTGTCTTCAACAACAACCTGCCCATTCTTTCCAACAATAACATGTCCAGTGTCTTTAACAACAACCTGCCCAGTGTCTTGAATAACTACCAGCCAAGTGTCTGCAATAACAACCTGCTCAGTGGCTTCATTAACAAACAGCCAAGTCACTGCAATTGTCTTCAACATCTACTAGCCCAGTTTCCTCAACACCCAGCTCAGTGTCTTCAACAACAACCAGTCCAGAGTCTTTAATAACTACAAGCCCAGTATCTTCAAAACAACATGCCTAGTAACGCCAATAACAACATGCCAAGTGGCGTCAATAACAACATGCCCAGTGGCGTCAATAACTGTAACTATCAGCCCAGTGGCTTAATTAATTACGACATGCCAAGTGGCTTCAATAACAACCAGTCAAGTGATTTTCACAACATACTTTTCACTGGTGTCAATAACAACCTGCTCAGTGTCTTCACTAACAACCTGCCCAGTGGCTTTACAAATAACCTGCCATGTGGTTTCAATACCAATCTGCCCAGTGGCATTAATAACATGCCCAGTGGCTTAAATAACTATCAGCCTATAACTTTATTTACGCATGTCCAGTGGCTTCAATAACATCCTGCCCATTGGCATTAGTACAAAAACTCAATTGCGTCAATAATAAAATACCCAGTGGCTTAATTAACTATCAGCCCAGTGTCTTTAATTACAACTGGCCCAGTGTCTTCAATAACACACCCAGTGGCTTCAACAACCTGTCTGTCCATTGGCGTCAAAAACAACCAGCCAAGTGTCTTCACGATAAACTGCCCAATGCTTTACAAGCAACCTGCCCAATGGCTTCAATATCAACACGCCCAGTTGCGTCTATAACAACCTGCCTCGTGGCGTCAATAACAACATGCCCAGTGGCTTAACAAACAACCTGCCAAGTGGCTTCAATAACAACTAGCCTAGTGGCGTCCACAACAACCTGCCCAGTGGCTTCAATAAACAACACGCCCAGTGGCGTCAATCGCAACCTGCCCAGTGGCGTCAATAGCAACCTGCCCAGTGGCGTCAATAACATGAACAACCTGTCCAGTGGCTTTACAAACAACCTGCCCAGTGGCTTCAATAACAACACGCACAGTGGCGTCTATAACAACCTGCCCAGTGACGTCTATAACAATCTGCCGAGTGGCGTCAATAACAACCTGACCAGTGGCTTTACGAATAAACATGCCCAGTGGCTTCAATAACAACACGCCCAGTGGCTTCAATAACAACGCGCCCAATGGCGTCTATAACAACCTGCCCAGTGGCTTCAATAAACAACACGCCCAGTGGCGTAAATAACAACCTGCCCAGTGGCTTCAATAACAACACGCCCAGTGGCGTCTATAACAACCTGCCCAGTGACGTCTATAACAATCTGCCCAGTGGCGTCAATAACAACACGCCCAGTGGCGTCTGTAACAACCTGCCCAGTGGCGTCAATAATATCATGCCCAGTGCCCTACAAACAACCT